AAATTGTATTATCAAACTATTGAGAAATCCACCTTTACAGGAAAAAAATATTAAATTATTAAAATATTTATTTGACATATATACGCGCTGCTGCCATCAACCCATTTTATTTTTATAAAAAATATAAAAATGAATTAAATATAGAATTTAAAATTTGTAACATATCTAAAAATCCAGCGACATGTTTTAAAATGTACTTCACTATTTAATAAAAAGGACGTGTCTTTGTGTATGTAATGGAAAGGCCTGTTGCCTTCCTAATTCACCACTAGGTGGCGCTGCTGTTATTTGAAGCAAAGTCAAATCAGGTTTACTATGCTAACCTAACCTACTGCTTCACATCACCAACACATTACATCATGTAATGAATGTAAAAAAGACACTATTAACAAGTGGATGAAAACAAATAGACTTAATTCATTAATGACTTCATTTGAAATCAACAGTAAATCAACAGCTGATATTTCTCTGAAATAAGGTTGTCTAGATAAGGAGGTGGAGTCCAGTCAGTCTGACCAATCAGAGAGCAGAACCTACAGGACTGAAGTCAGCCTGGAGCGTCAGCCTACCTACTGATGACGTCACTGAATACTGCGCTGTGATTGGCTGCTGGGTGGAGAGTTTCTGACTGATTCAGGTGAGTTGAGCTCAGATCAGGTGAAGATGAAGCAGAAGATGAAGCAGAAGATGAAGCTGCTGCTGCTCTGCGTCCTGCTCTGTGTTTCTGCTGATGGTAAAAATCTCATCCAGGCTGGTTACTGAGACTGATCACTCAAAGCTCTGTTTCTGCTCTCCTTTCAGTTCAACATGACAGTTTCCGGGTCATTGCATGTTCAGACACGGATGGATTCAACATGATGACTCTGGATGGGGAAGAGGCTTGGCACGCTGACTTCATTCATGAGACAGGAGTTGATACCCTGCCGGACTTTGTCAACCATCCAAGTTTCCTGTGGGGCAACAAGTTTGCAAAAGTAACCTGAAGATTATCCGTATTGGTCTGAAGGACATCCCTGATCCACTTGGTGAGGAAAGATCAACTCTGCTTCCTTTCCTGCTAGGGAACAAGTTTAGATCAGACTGAATGGACTGAGTGTGGGAACGTTTGGACCTCTGGTTACTCCATCAGCTCTGTTTAATCTGACTTCATCCTCATTTGCTGTTTCTTGTACAGTTGAATCCAGATTATGGAACGCTCTGCTTCAGCATCTCTAATCCCTTCAGCTTCAGGTTTATTAGAGTCCCAAAGGGAAAGTGATGCTGCAGCAAGTAAAAACGAACAAATGCATCAAAATTTAAGACATTCAGGGCTCTAAAAATTAGGTACAATACAGTGCATCAAAACATTGATATAAATCCATATAATATAGGGCAGGACTGGGAACTTCCAGGCCTCCAGATTCTCCTGCAACCTTTAGATGCATCTCTACTTCAACACACCTGAGTCAAATAATGAGTCATTAGCAGAACTCTGGAGAACCAGACTGCATTTACATTTACAGATGTTGGACCAGGGAGACGCCTAAAAGTTACAGGAGACCGGCTCTGATGTAGGGAGACAACCAACATCATCATCAACCAACTATTTCTGCTAACATCAGTAGAAAACAACAGAAATCAGCCAAACAGTCAGATGCAACTCCTGCTCCATTGTTAAGACTCACACTGGCCAGTTAATGTCTGGTTTGGTTCCAGTTAAGCTGCGTCTCCTTTGGGTCCATGAATATGTGCAGGAACATGCAGGATCTGTGGTCATCTCTCCAATGACCACAGTTCTGTCTGCGTACCTTCAGGTGTGCAGCTTCTTCTGCATTTGATTTGCTTATTGATGTCCAAGTTGTTGTGTTTGTGGTTTTCCACCACAATTAGTAAAACATTTTGGTCCGTAGCGTTTGAACACAGAAATATTGATTGTCTGAGGAGGAATCTATGGGCCGGTACTCAGATATAGTTGCTGCCAATCAAATTCCTTGTATGCAAGGAAATCTTTGGAACCAGCACTCCAGATGTAAGATCTTCAAATGTGGTTGAGGAAGACTGGAGAAGATCTGGTTAAAGCCACATGATCTTCTGCTCATGATTAAGATGATCCTGCATGTGTTTAGATCCTCCAACCAGCCTGCTCTACACGGCTAACGTTGTGGAGCTGGGAGAGAAGAACATCCTGGTCTGTCACGTCTCTGGTTTCTATCCGGCTCCGGTCAACGTCTCCTGGACCAGAAACGGAGACAAAGTGACTGAAGGAACCAGCATCAACGTTCCTTTTCCCAACGAAGACAACACCTTCACCCAGATCTCCAGGCTGCACTTTGTCCCTCAGCTGGGAGACATTTACAGCTGTTCAGTGGAACATCCAGCCCTGAAAGAACCACTGACCAGAATCTGGGGTGAGCGGCCTTTAACTAGACCAGTGGTCTCAAACTGAAGCCTGCAGCTTTTAGATGAATCCATTCTTCTACACACTTGAATTAAAGGGCTGAGCTGCCTCATGCAGTCCAGCTCTGCTAGTGAACTAGCATTGGAACCCAGTGCTGAAGCAGAGACGTCTAATCCAGTGGAGCCCAAAGTGGTTCTGGAGGTCCGGCATCCTCCATGTTTTAGTCTCTCCCTGGTTTAACACATCTGGATCAAATGAGGCCTTAGAGGTTTAAGGCGAACATTGAGAAGGTTGTTACTAAAACCTCTAGGATGCACCCGGCCCTCCAGGACCCACTTTGAAGTTTGAGACGACTGCAGTAGAGAGAAGCAGCTCAACAAGCTTTCAGCGACTTGTCTCTGTTTTCTGTCTCCAGATGTTGAAGTGCAAGTGGCTCCGCCTGGCGTTGGACCCGCGGCGTTCTGTGGAGTCGGTCTCATCGTGGGTCTGCTTGGGGTGGCGGTCGGGACTTTCTTCCTCGTTAGGGGGACAGAGAGCTGATTGGCACCATGTTACTGATCTTTACCAGACATATTATCTGAAGCTCATATTCAATCCTCTGGATTGTTTCACATTTTCACGCTGATGTTTCCCTAAAAACTGAATTTCTGCTCCTCAGTTTGTTCTGCTCAGAATCAACCAAGCTGTCACTTTATACACAGTTTAGGAAACATGTACTAATTATTCTGTGTTACATTTGAACCTGAAATGGTTTGTGGTTCTTGGTAATGAAACTTTAGACAGTAGAGCAGAAACTGCAGCATCTATCAATGCTGCAGTTACATCTTTCTTTACGATTCATTTCTGACTCAACAGGTTTGTGTAGATCAATGAGGAAAGAGCAGTTTGTTCTTTTCAGACCCGATCTGATCCCAGAGTTTTTCCTTCCACCTTATTTTAAAAAACTTCTTGAGTTTTTTAAGTGTGTGTAAAAAGTTACGCTTTCATTCCTATAACATGATGGTTTTCATTGAACTCTGTATTGATCGTTGGTTTTCTGTTTCTGGGTTCAGATCTCCTCTCAGGTGGAACATCTTCATGTCTCAACCTGCTGATGAAGCAAACAGATTCACATTTTTCTGCTGCTTAATGTGTCTAAAATAAAGATCTGATTCCTGGACTTTAATGTTATGGGATTTTTGTTTGTTTTAATGAAACATAACTTTAATTGTGCAGATTGTAACACAATCTGTTCAAAAATAAGATGAGAAAATCTCAGTTTCTCAGTTTAACACGACAAAAAACAAGAAAAAGATCCTGTATGAGATCAGTCTGCCAGGTAACACATGACACGGCGGTCGTGACGTGTGGTTCTGGTTTTTCCAGTACCAGTTCCTCCGGCTGGCTCAGTTTGTCTCCTGACCTGGAGGAATGGGTCCCTCTCTGCTCCTGATCCTCCTGGTTCTGGTCCAGACAGCAGGAGGCGCTCACAGTGGGTGTTTGGGATCTAATCTGTGATTGGTATCCAGAGCTCAGTAGACTCTTTAGAAACAGCTGAGCTCTGCAGTTTCCTAAATACTGACGTCGACTTTAGGGTTGAGAATCTCTGGCATGTGCTTGACATAATAGTTTATCATGATGCACTGTGAATGATCCAATTCATTTTAGAGACGTAAATGAAGTCAATTGTAGAATGACAGGGGTCTTCAGCTCCAGGCCTGAAGGGGGCGCTGTCCTGCAGGTCTGTTTCAGGACATCAGGTCATGATCAGCTCTCTGGGGAACCAGAGACTGATCGGCCGGACTCGGGTCTGTTGGACCACATCTAAAGATTCCTGCTCTGTTATTTACCTCTTACTGTACAAGCTATCAAAAGATAATCTGCATGTGAAGAAAAACTCTTTTGCTTTTATTTCCAAGCTGCAGCTACTTGGTGTTCATGTTATTTCTTACTTTAAGCTGCACATCAACTTAAAGATAGTAGAAGAAAAAGCTAAAGTGAAGTTTAATTTCAGTGTATTAAACATAAAGTGATAATTACTCATAAAATAATGAGGTTTCTGCAGATCGGAGCCAACAGTCGACCCACATTGGACCAGAATCTACAACGACTCATCACCAACGAACAACTAAACCACAGCATGAATCTGGTTTACAGAAACTCAATAAATGATTTAAGATCCAGGCTCAGACATAACATGGGTTAGCTTGTTGTTAGCGGTAGCATCGGTATCATAGACTGATGACTTAAAATAGCACAAAGCTCAGTCACCAGGAAGAAACCAGTCGACGGCCATTTAAAGCTCCTTTTGATCCTAAATGTGACCCAACCTGAAGCTAAATGATTTTATTTCCAGGTTTTGAAAACTTTCTTCTGACTTGTCCTATAATAATAATATAATATAATAATAATAATAATAATAATAATAATAATAATAATATGAGGCCTGCAGCTCCAGGTGGTTAGTTATGAGAACACCAGGTAAATAATCACAATAAGTCTTTTTTAGATAATATGGATTATAATATACACATATTTTTTGGAGATGCCTTGTCTGTTCCATCCAGTCCTTTAGTTCTTTAGCTCCTCGCTGTGATCACTGGAGAAATCCACTTCTGGATTTAGCGCGTCATCCGGGTCACGACTGAAACCCAGAGTGTAGCTTAAGACTGAATAAACTCTAAATGTTTCAGATAACCAGGAATGTGCATGTTTTGTTTTCCAGATGGTTCTGAAGTCCATTCAGTGTTGCGCTGCCTCTTTAACTCCACTGAGCTGAAGGACACCCAGTACATCTACTCCTACATCTATAAAAAAGTGGAGTTTTTGAGATTTGACAGTAACATTGGGCTCTATGTTGGATACACATCGTTTGGAATGAGACAGGCAAACATCTTGAACAGTAATCCTGTGGTTCTGAGCAGCAGGCGAGCCCAGAAGGACGTGTTCTGCCACCATAACTCTGGGGTCTGGTACAGAAATGTTTTGAATAGATCAGGTGAGTTCATAAAAAACTGCTTCCAGTCCGGGGGTCGTGGCTGGATCTGGTGGGCCCCAGATGTCCTCAATGCCCCAGATGTCCTCAATAAACCTAAACCAATAAACCTAGAACCAAATCAGACCCACCGAGACACAGCAACCTCTTTCCCAGGAGAAGCAACACAGAAACTCAGATATTAAGTTTCCAAAACAAAAATAATAAGTTTCCCAACTTTGGCTGAATGAAAATACAGATTTGTATCTTGTATTAATTTTAGTTTTTGCACTGAGGAAAGTTAACTCTTCCTCTCCTCTTCCTGTTCCAGTGGCGCCGTCTGTCGCTCTGACCTCAGTGGCGCCTCCTGCTGGTGGTCATCCCTCCATGCTGACCTGCAGCGTCTACGGCTTCTTCCCCAAACAGATCAGAGTCACCTGGAGGAGAGACGGACAGGAAGTCACCTCTGATGTCACTTCCACCGACGCGCTGCCAGACGGAGGCTGGCTCTACCAGATCCACTCCAGCTTGGAGTTCAAATCCAGGTGAGTCCAGGTAAATATGCTAACACCTAGCTAACTATGCCAATACCAAGCTAAATATGCTAACACCAAACTAAATATAATACAAGCTAAATATGCTAACACTGAGCTAAATATGCTAACAGCAGTGACATGTGGACAGTAAATTGTCCTGAAATGACTCAGTTTGTGTGGCTTTGTTGGAACCTGAGAGCTTAATGTCACAGCCGCTGGAGGAGGTCAGAGGTCAGAAGTCAAGAGTTACATTTTAACACCTGTAGATTTGTTTTAACACTGGATTTTAACTACTAATAAAATACACCATAGAGTTACATAAACAGAATGTGGCTCTGTGACAGTAAAACTAACTTCTGCATGAAGTCTAACACCAAAACATTAATGGTTCTGAATCTGCTGGGCGAGATTCAGAACCACCTGGAGTCCAACAGGTGAGTCCAGTTGGACTCCAGGTTGACTTTGTCTCCTGAATGTTTCCTAACTGAAGACGTCATCAGAAAGTGCTGCAGAGCTGCTGGAGGAGGAAGAGCTCAGAGAAAAGCTGCTGCATGAATAAACCGATTCTCTAAATCAGGACGATCAAACTGCAGGTTTTAAATGAGCCTCAGGTACAAAACACTGGAATGAAACGACTTCATGACCTCCTGCTGTGGATCGGATCTGCAGAACCTGAGCAGAACCTCAATGACTCATTATTCTGTTCAGGTGCTGCAGAGGCTCAGCTAAAAGTCACAGGGCAGCCGCCCTCCCTGATAATCGTCCTGGTTCTGACCCGGTTCTGTTGGTTCTGACCCGGTTCTGTTGGTTCTGACCTGGCTTTGTTGGTGTCTCTCTCTTCAGGTCTGGAGAGCAGATCTCCTGCAGGGTGGAACATGTCAGCCTGAAGGAACCTCTGATCACCGACTGGGGTAAGAAGGACTGGAGACACCTGTCCTCCTGTCTCTACCTGTCTCACCTGTCCTCATGTCTCTACCTGTCTCACCTGTCCCCCTCCTGTCCTCATGTCCCTCCAGACCCGTCCATGCCGGAGTCAGAGAGGAACAAACTGGCCATCGGAGCTTCAGGACTGATCCTGGGTCTGATTCTGTCTCTGGCTGGATTCATCTACTACAAGAGGAAGGTCAAAGGTCAGAACCTCTCGGTCCAAACCAAATGGACCTGTTCATGAGACAGGATGCTGGTTCTGGTTCTGAACCGTCCATTTCTGACTCTGTTCTCTGGATCTTTGTTCCTGTTCAGATCTGGTTCCCGTCCTCACCTTTGAATGCAGGAGCCGGTTCAGGATCAGAACCTGAGCAGAACCTGAGCAGAACCTGATCAGAACCTGATCAGAACCTGAGCAGAACCTGAGCAGAACCTGATCAGAACCTGGTCTGCAGAACCTGAAGTTTGTTCTGGACTCTTCGGTCCAGTTGATCAGCTGCTTCTCTCCAGGAAGTGTTTCAGGTTTATTAATCTTCACTTTCTGTGGTTTTATTTTCTCTCTATGGTTTTATGAAGAGCAGATTTTTCCTCAGCTGTAAAAACATCTGAAATCATTATTGAGGCTTGAAGAGCAAAAGAACCAGAAGAAAAGCTGAATCCTTTACGATGATGGAAGTTTGATGTCACATGTTTATTTCTGCTGTGATTAATTAGAGAAGACAGCAGCTTTATTGTCTAACTGCATCATTATGTGTAATTTGGGTTTATTCTGATTTCTAACACTTTGGTGTTTCACAATAAACAACAATTATAAAAAAGATGATAGTCGTGGTTTCTGTGGAAATACTTGCATGTTGTGGTTTGATTTTGCACCATATTTCCCAGGATGCTTAGCAGCTGGTTTTGAATCCTGTGTTGCAGTGAGATGGATGTTTGCTACTGTTTTTTAATTCAAGTTTTTATTAAGGAACAACATAGAAAACATACATCTCATCCATTCACATAAGATGATATAAACCTGTACACGATCATCTATTCAGTTTGTTATATTAATCAATACAGTTAACCCCTTCTTGTGATTGTCCATCTCCAGTATTTAGTGTTCCCTTTTTCCCCTCCTCCTCACTCCTCTCAAAGGAAGAGAGGAGGAAGAGCAAAACAAGTCAGTATCAACACTAGAATAACTTTTATGACCCTTAAACCGAGGGTTCAACAGAGTAGCTAAGGAACAATGGGTGTCACCACAATCTCACTAGCTTCAGATCTGGTATTCATAAAAGTCCACCATGGGGTCCAACACTTTTCTAATTTGTCTTGCTCCAGTTTCAATGCAAATGTCAATTCCTCCATCTTGCAAATGTCTTGAATGATGCTTGTCCAGTCTTCTAATGTGGGTATTTTGTCCGTCATCCATTTCCGAGTAGTTGCTTTTTTACTGGCAATCAGTAATATATCAAAAATATATGTTTTACAGAATCCCTTTACACAATCTGGTCGTTTGCCTAAAAGCATAATCTCAAAGTTTAGTGTAAGATTGGCTCCAATAACAGTCTCCACATTTTGTTTAATTGTCCTCCAGTAAGAAGACAACTTAGGACAGCTCCATAGAATATGAAAGTGGTCTGCTTGTTCCGATCCACATAACCTCCAGCATGTTTTATCTGCATTTCTGTCCCTTTGAGCTGGTGTTTTAAATAAGCGTGTAACCGTTTTCCAAGCAAATTCTCTATATGTTAGTGAAGATGTACATCTCCAGCAGTTATTCAAAATATCTAACCAGTCTTCAATGTGAATTTGGTGGTTCCCTTCCTTGTCCCATCTCTCCTTTATATATAGCGTGTCCCCTCCCTCCAGATTTTGTAGCTCATCATACATTTTGGATATTAATTTAGTAGTAGAAGTTGATTGATATGATTTCAGAAAGATATTTAATATTCCAACAAATGCTCTGCTTGGATCTTCTGTATTTGTTTTGTCTAAATAATGCCGGATTTGTAGATAACAGAAAAAGTCTCTGTTATCAAGGTCATATTTTTGCCTAATGTCTTGAAATGTCCTCAGACAGCCTTTATGATACAAATCATTGTATTTTACTAAACCCTTGTTAATCCATCTTTTAAAGGTATTATCTATTTTATTTGGGGTAAAATCTTGGTCATACGCTATCCATCTGATTGGTAAACAGGACTCTCTGTTGTCTTTTACTAGCTTTGACCAGGTCTTAAGTGCTGTTTCAGAACAGGGATTAAGTTCCTTAAGGTTTTTTATTAAGTCAATATTCCCAATTGCTGCCTGCAAAGGGACACCACTTTCAATCTCCTTCCATCTTGGGACGTGTGAACTTTGACCTTCCTCTGCTGTTACTGAGTCCAGACACAGACGGTTCCATGTGGCGAAATTCACAAACACATGGAGATCAGGCACATAGAAGATTTCATATATTTAATGGAAAAACATTGAGAACACAGAGAGCTGGAAGAAAACAGGAGCCGAGTGCAAAAACCAGGGAAGCAACATGAAGGTCCAACAAGAAGAGAAACGAGTTTAAACACTGAGCAAAACACCTGAGCTGATTGGCTAACAGGCTTCAGGTGAGAGTAAACAGGAACCAGAAAGATGAATTAACTACTAAAGAATAACTAAAGAAAGGGAATAAATGAACATAAATATCATAGAATCAGTCAGAAGAACTGGACAGAAACAAGGCAGACTGGGATTACTGGGATTACTGGGATTAAGGAGCAACCAGCTCTGACAGGAACATGCACTGATAATCAAACAGAATAACATTACAGTCAGGTCAGAGGTCAATCAGGTCACATTGTTTAACCAACCAGTTCTGTGATTATGTAAGGGAGACAAATCAGTGAGAAAAAAACTTGTGCTGCTCGAAGAACTTTTTAATAAATGATGCAAACATTAGCATTAGCCAACATTAGCATTAGCCAACATTAGCGTTAGCCAACATTAGCATTAGCCAACATTAGCGTTAGCAACATTAGCATTAGCCAACATTAGAGTTAGCCAACATTAGCATTAGCCAACATTAGTGTTAGCCAACATTAGAGTTAGCCAACATTAGCGTTAGCCAACATTAGCATTAGCCAACATTAGCGTTAGCAAAATTAGCATTAGCCAACATTAGCGTTAGCCAACATTAGCATTAGCCAACATTAGCATTAGCCAACATTAGCGTTAGCCAACATTAGCATTAGCCAACATTAGCGTTAGCAACATTAGCATTAGCCAACATTAGCATTAGCCAACATTAGAGTTAGCCAACATTAGCATTAGCCAACATTAGTGTTAGCCAACATTAGAGTTAGCCAACATTAGCATTAGCCAACATTAGTGTTAGCCAACATTAGAGTTAGCCAACATTAGCGTTAGCCAATTAGCATTAGCCAACATTAGCGTTAGCAAAATTAGCATTAGCCAACATTAGCATTAGCCAACATTAGCATTAGCCAACATTAGCATTAGCCAACATTAGCGTTAGCCAACATTAGCATTAGCCAACATTAGCATTAGCCAACATTAGCGTTAGCAACATTAGCATTAGCCAACATTAGCATTAGCCAACATTAGAGTTAGCCAACATTAGCATTAGCCAACATTAGTGTTAGCCAACATTAGAGTTAGCCAACATTAGCGTTAGCCAACATTAGCATTAGCCAACATTAGCGTTAGCCAACATTAGCATTAGCCAACATTAGCGTTAGCCAACATTAGCATTAGCCAACATTAGCGTTAGCAACATTAGCATTAGCCAACATTAGAGTTAGCCAACATTAGCATTAGCCAACATTAGCATTAGCCAACATTAGTGTTAGCCAACATTAGAGTTAGCCAACATTAGCGTTAGCCAACATTAGCATTAGCCAACATTAGCGTTAGCAAAATTAGCATTAGCCAACATTAGCATTAGCCAACATTAGCATTAGCCAACATTAGCGTTAGCCAACATTAGCTTTAGGGCCGTTTGAGTCAAACTGAATAATCGTCAGATCAGTGACTCGGCCTCCAGCAGCTCAGATGTTTAATCAGATCAAGTTTCCATCAATCAGATGAAATGTCAGTCATGAAAGTTTGACTCCTTCGCTTGTGGATGGAAGATTAAAACCAACTTAAACATTAAATTTCATCTCATGACATTAATGTGACACAAATTTACCAACAAAATAAATGAGCAGAAATAATTGTTTCCCATTTTTCTGTTTGGAGTTGAAATGATTCAGGATTAGTTTTGACTTTCTGGAAAAGTTCAGCTTCTATAACAGCAGTTCCTCCAGAATCTACCAAAGGTCGACTTTTCTACCCACCACTGATTTGAAAAGGTGATAAAAGATTTAAAAGCTGCAGAGATGAAATGAGCAGAAGGCTGGAAAGAATAGTTGTTTTCTGACAGGAAACCGTTTCATCTGCGTTTCTTCTGGTCACTAAGCAAACAGGAGAACATGAAGCTCTCTGCGGCGGCCATGTTGTCTGTAGTTCATTTCTGTTGCTAAGCGATGAATCGGACCAGGATGGAAAGTTTCCTCCCTGTTGGTCAGACCCTGCATGGAGCAGGAAGAGGTCAGAGGGGTCAGGCTGATCGAGCAGGTCAGAGGAGGAGGAGGGCAGACGCTCAGCAGCCGCAGAAACACAGAGTGGCTGGTTTCTGGTGATGCTAATGCTATGCTAATGCTATGCTAATGCTATGCTAATGCTGTGCTAATGCTAGCAGCTCTGCTGATGGTCAAACCCTCAGTCTCTGATGAAGGGATGAATTCAGACCAGCAGAAGAAGAAACATTTAATTCAATAATCACTGAGAATTTATCCAAACATCCCAAACCTGATTTATTCCTCTGATCGTTTATATTCTTTAATTATTGATGAAAAGACAAACCAGAAAATGGAAATGATGGAAAATACAAAATATTTCCTCTTTTAATATTTGATCAGATAAAAGATGGAAACTGGTATTTAATATCCATCCCATAATGTTTATGATTCATTCAGACTGGAACCAGTTGGAGCCGTTTTCCTTCCTCACCTGAATATTAAATATTATTTATCATTTCATCAGAGTCTGAACAATAAGAACATTTAGAAAACCTGGAAGGTGAAACAGGGAGAGGGCGGAGCCCAGCCTGACCAATCAGAGAGCAGAACCTGCAGGCCAGCCTGATGACATCACTACGCTGTGATTGGCTGCTGGGTGGAGAGTTTCTGACTGACTCAGGTGAGTTCAGGTCAGACCAGCTGAAGATGGAGCTGCTGCAGCTGCTGCTGCTGCTGCTCTGTGTTTCTGCGGCTGCTGAGCGTCTGCCCTCCTCCTCTTCCTCCTCCTCCTCTGACCTCTTCCTGCTCCCTGCAGGCCAACATGAGGACCTGGAGGTGGTGGCTTGTTCACCTGCTAATGAAATGGACATGATGGCCCTGGATGGTGAACATGTTTGGCACGCCGACTTCAACCAAGGAAAAGGAGTCGTCACCATGCCGCACTTCCTGGTTCATCCAGAGTTCACAGGGTTTTATGAACGAGCCGTGAAGAGAGAAAAGTTCTGCAAAGACAACCTGAAGATTCTCCGATTGGGAATGAAGGACATTCCTGATCCGCTGGGTGAGGAAACGGAACTGAACAAGATCAGACTGAATGAGACTGAATGAGAATAAATAGACTGAATGAGACTGTCTCATTCAGTCTATTTAGTCTCATTAGTGTGTCCTCTGGTCACTGATGTGTGTGTCTCTGTGTGTGTGTTTAGTGTGTCCTCTGGTCACTGATGTGTGTGTGTCTCTGTGTGTGTGTTTAGTGTGAACTCTGCTCTCTGACCTTTCTCTGACCTTCCTGCCCTCAGATCCTCCCTCCGTCCTGCTCTTCTCAGCCCACCATGCGGTTCTGGGGGAGAAGAACGTCCTGGTGTGTCACGTCTCCGGTTTCTGTCCGGCGCCAGTCCGGGTGTCCTGGCTGAAGAACGGACAGGACGTGACGGCGAGCAGCAGCCTGAGCGTCCCGCTGCCCAGCAGGACCAGCAGCTTCACCCAGATCTCCAGGCTGGACTCGGTTCTGCAGCTGGGAGACGTGTACAGCTGCTCAGTGGACCATCCGGCTCTGAGGAGGCCGCTGACCAGGACCTGGGGTGAGCGGCCTTTGACTAGACAGGAAGCGGCTGCGGCAGAGACCGACTGACCCGTTTCCTGTCTGCAGAGTTGCAGGTGGAGGCGCCGCCCGGGCCCGGCGCCGGCCCGGCGCCGGCCCGGCAGTTCTGTGCGCGGTGGGAGTGATGCTGGGTCTGCTGGGAGCCGCCGCCGGAGCGTTCTTCATGGTGAAAGGGAAGCAGCTGATTGGTCCGTCCTGAACCTCCTGACAGGAAGTCCCGGTTCTGATCCAACACGTGGATCCGATCGGTTCGGATCAATCAGAGATCCAACATTAAAGCTCCTGGACTCAGGCTGATCTTATAGAAATATGGTTTCTAGATGTTCTGCTTGAGGAATCGGGTTCTGGAGCGTCTGACCCAGTTGGTTCTGGACCGGGTCGGTTTTACTGGCTGGTTCTGATTAAAATGAAATAAAAACTGTTTCTGTCTGGAGTTTTATTCTCATTAATATAAACATCTGGAAACATTTTGATTAAAATGAGAAAAAAATTTTACTTTTCTACAAATAAAAAAACTGAACTAAAAATCTTCTGTTAAATAATAAATAATAATATTTAATATGAATTGATAAAAACATGCTGGTCTCTTTAAACTGACTAGAACCAGATGAAACTTTTCCTCCATCGTCTGAAAAGTTCAAAATCATTTAAATATAAAAACTAAATGAAACTTTTAATGATAAATGATAAATAAAGTTAAACTCACTGGAAGCAAAGAGACAGAAAAATAAAATATTGATTTAAAAAAAGAAACGAATCTGAAACTGAAAAACATAAATTATGAGAATAAATCAGGACAAGAAAAAAAGTAAAATAATAAAAGTGAAGATGAAACATTTCATGACCTTCAGCAGGAACAAAGGAATCTGTTCATAACAGCATCATAAACTCGAATTAAACTTCCATAAACTCAGATTATAAATTCATTTATGAGACGTCAGAAATCAAAGTTCATCACATTTATTAGATTTCAAGAAACAAAACGTCCAAACTGACTTTAATAACTCACTTTATTTTCTCATTCTAACATAATTTTTCTGAAATGAACTTTTATAAAAACAATAATTTCTCAGTTTGTCTCTGATTTGGAAAAATGTAAATAAATCTGTAAAAACTTTGATCAGAAAATTTTAATCCAACAAAACAAATAAAAAGTTTTTATGTCTTTGAGTTTCAGAGAAACATTTGGAAAAATTTGATCAGTTTTTCATTTATATTTCCAGTTTAAACAGATAAGAGAAAAATTCCTGCAGCAGGTTTATCATCAGTAGAACCATCAAAACCATCAGAACCAACAGAACCATCAGAACCAGTGGATCCAGTGGATCCAGTGGATCCAGTGGATCACCTGCTGCTCTGCTCCTGTCAGGTCAATCTGCCCGGTAACAGGTGACGTCACCAGGTGATTCTCCGTCTGGTTGCAGCTTCAGGCTCTCAGTTCATCTCCTGACCTGCAGCAATGAGTCGCTCTCTGGTTCTGCTCCTGGTTCTGGTTCTGGTTCTGGTCCAGACTGCAGGTAGGAGCCGATCGATCATTCAGATTCCTGGGCTGATATGCAGAAACACTTAATGATTGATTTCAATCTGTTGATCTGCTTTATGTTTCTGATTTGTTTTCTGAGACCAGCTGAGCTCTGATTGGTCGGATCTGAATTATAATCAATAATAATGAACATAAAGAGCTTCAATGTTTCCTAAATATTTAACATTATAGAGGATCATAAAGTTTCATTATCATCTCTGGTTGCAGCCAAAGCCTGATAATTCACTGGATCAGTTCACTGGATCAGTTCACTGATTCAGTTCACTGGATCAGTTCACTGATTCAGTGAACTGGATCAGTTCACTGGATCCGTTCACTGGATCAGTTCACTGGATCCGTTCACTGGATCCGTTCACTGGATCATAAATATTTTGTTTTTGAGAATAGAAACAGAGATAAACCCAAAATATGGATTTATGCTTAAATGAATTAAACTGGTTTTCTAGTTATATTAGCTAGATGTTTTATAGATTTACATTATCCAGATGTTTTCTAGAGTTATATTATCCAGATGTTTTATAGATTTACATTATCCAGATGTTTTCTAGAGTTATATTATCCAGATGTTTTATAGATTTACATTATCCAGATGTTTTCTAGAGTTATATTATCCAGATGTTTTATAGATTTACATTATCCAGATGTTTTCTAGAGTTACATTATCCAGATGTTTTCTAGAGGTATATTATCCAGATGTTTTATAGATTTACATTATCCAGATGTTTTCTAGAGTTATATTATCCAGATGTTTTATAGATTTACATTATCCAGATGTTTTCTAGAGTTATATTATCCAGATGTTTTATAGATTTACATTATCCAGATGTTTTCTAGAGTTATATTATCCAGATGTTTTATGGATTTACATTATCCAGATGTTTTCTAGAGTTATATTATCCAGATGTTTTATAGATTTACATTATCCAGATGTTTTCTAGAGTTATATTATCCAGATGTTTTATAGATTTACATTATCCAGATGTTTTCTAGAGTTATATTATCCAGATGTTTTCTAGAGTTATATTATCCAGATGTTTTATAGATTTACATTATCCAGATGTTTTCTAGAGTTATATTATCCAGATGTTTTATAGATTTACATTATCCAGATGTTTTCTAGAGTTATATTATCCAGATGTTTTATAGATTTACATTATCCAGATGTTTTCTAGAGTTATATTATCCAGATGTTTTATAGATTTACATTATCCAGATGTTTTCTAGAGTTATATTATCCAGATGTTTTATAGATTTACATTATCCAGATGTTTTCTAGAGTTATATTATCCAGATGTTTTATAGATTTACATTATCCAGATGTTTTCTAGAGTTATATTATCCAGATGTTTTATAGATTTACATTATCCAGATGTTTTCTAGAGTTATATTATCCAGATGTTTTATAGATTTACATTATCCAGATGTTTTCTAGATTTATATTACCCAGATGTTGTCTGGATCTTCACCCTGCTCTCCCCCCAGTTGGCTTCATGTGTCAGGAATTGTTCCTCTGCCAGTTCAACTCCTCTGCGCTGCAGGACGTTCACTACAGATACTCCTACGTCTACAACAAGGTGGAGTTCATTCGCTTCGACAGCCATGTTGGATCCTTCGTTGGTCTGAACTCGTTTGGTCAGAAACTGGCAGCAAACTGGAACAACGGCAGCGACTGGCTGAACGTCATGAAGAAACCAGATGGACAGATGGACAGAGAGGCTCTATGGCTTAATGGAGCCAACATGGCGGTCTGCCGCTTCACGTTGGGGTTAAGAAGCTAATGCTAATGCTAATGCTGGTCGGTGTGAACAGAACCAAACGGGTCTCATGCTGCTGCTTGATGTCCTGCAGGTCTGGAGAGACGATTTCCTGCCTGGTGGAGCATCTGAGCTTGAAGGAGCCGCTGAGCATCGACTGGAGTAAAAACCTGCATGACTCCATTTAGCATCTGATACTTTAAACCATCAAACCTTTAAATCTTTAAATCTTTCTAATGAGAAACAATCAGAGGCTCCACATTTATTACAGAACAAACAAATTAACTTTTCTATTTTATTCCACATGAAGAAATTCAATTAATCCACAAAAACTCTAATTAATTATTCCACTGATTGTGATTGGTGAATATTTATAACCTTACTGAAATCTTAAAAATGAATGAAATACATAAAACATAAAATTCTTTCTGAACTTGTTTTTCTGTTAGCTTACTGTTAGCTAATAGTAAGCTATTAGCTAAGTATTAGCTAATAGCTTGATGACTGACACGTCATCATGTTGAGGTTGTTGTTCAAAACAAATAAATCTTAAATGTTTCAATGATGTGAAATGATGAACTTTTCACAAATGAACTGATGAATCCCTGTGAGAGCATGAACGACCCGTCACTGATTTCAAATGAGACGATGAAAACAAACTGAAATCTGACTTCTCTCTGGATTAAACCAACGTTTTATAACTTAATCTGCACCTGTCTGTCTGTCTGCTCACCTGTTGTCTGTCTGCTCACCTGTCTTAAGCTCCGCCCCCTGGTCGACCCATGCCTGAGTCGGAGAAGATCAAAATTGCATTTGGAGTTCTAGGACTGATCGTGGGTCTGGTTTTGTTTCTGACTGGATTCATCTACTACAAGAAGAAAGCAGGAGGTGAGAACCAGTTTAGACCAGTTTAAACCAGTTTAAATTCAATTTAAACCAGTTTGAAACCAGTTTGAAGCAGATTCAAACCAGATCTTATTCATTTATTTTGGGATTTTGGACAATATGATAATAAATCTGGTTCCTCCCAGATCTAGAATATCTAGACCTTTAATCTGGTTTGTTTGCATCTAGACTTAGTTCACATAGATCCGGTTCACATCTCCTCTACAGTGAATCTAGATCATCTCTTCTGATCAAACCTTCCTGTTCATTCTGTTTTTGTTCAGCTCTGCCTCCCATCCTGTCCATGAACTGAGGATCAGAACCGGACCCAGAGAACCGGATCCAAAGAACCGGACCCAGACATCCGGACCTGAAGCCCGGTTCTGATCCTGATCTTCATCATGAATCTTCACTGAAGCTCCAGATAATCATGTTTAGAGTTAAAATGTTTCATTTTCCTCCAGTTTTCAGCTCCTTCGTCTCCATGATGCAGGAAAACATTTCATGTAAAGTGGAAAAATCAGATCATATAAATCTGTTTATTATTAATAATATTTTTTGTCATTTTGGTTTATTCTGGTGACTTTTAACTTCCTGTTTCACAATAAAATGTTTTTTTCTCAATAAATGTTTTTTCTCTTTTGGATTTTTTTCCTAAATTGTTTTAATGTTTTTCTGAAGTTTCCAGTTTATTTATTTATTGGTTATAAATAATAATCCTGAGGTCCAAATGATAAAAACATAAAAATTTTGATACAACACATAAGTCTATTTCATAAACACCCACTGGCCACTTTATTAGGTACACTTTATTAGGTACAGGTAGGTATTAGCTGTCCAACCACTTGTACCATCAGGACTCAGCAGCTCAGAAGGTTGGTAATTACACAAAGTAATTACAATTACATAAGGTAATTACATTATGTAATTACACAAGGTAATCAAAGTCTAACTTCAAATGTTTTAGAAATCTACATAATCCAGTTTAATTTATTTTTATAATCAAGATTTGACCTTTTAGATTATTTTTTTAGAAGTTCAACATAAGCAGAATGCAATGTTTCCAGACAACACAGAAGATAATTACCTTGTGTAATTACATAAGGTAGTAATTACACAAGGTAACTACAGCAGCACAAGGATTGTTGATAATTCATACGAACCATAAAGTTTTTTCCAGCTCGTCATCTTCAGATCCAGATGAGATTTTGATCCAACACAAAATAAAAACCCATTAAGTTTCATCCAAAAACATCGATTAAATAATATTAATGCTGATCATTTGGTTTATGCATATTAGACGCAGTCCTGAGATTTTAATTTGACAATCCAACATTTTAATAAAAATATAAAATAATATATCATATTCCAAGCTAATCAGGTTAAAGTGCACTTTCAAAATCTCAATAATCAATAAAAATGAATGATCAAATTTTCAACTAGTGAGAAATAAATGAAAAAACTGCACAATATTAAATTCAGTTGTGATCAGTTAACTTCACTGATCAACATTCATGTTCAGTTAGTGGAGAGTTTAACCAAAACGAGGAGACATAACCAACCAGCACCAACCGACGAGCAAAAGAGTCAGAGATAAAAACAAAAACTGCTGTCAGATTCACCAGCTGATCAAATCAGGAGATTCTAAGATTTGGATCAATTATTGAGGAAGATGCCAACAGAAAACCACCTGGAGACGAGGAGGAATAGAAACTGAGAGCTGGAAGAGTTTAGCACTACACAGGAAGTGGACCCGCAAAATAAAAGTCCTCTTTGGGTTACACGCTCTTGTGGAATCGGCCAATCACATGGCAGCTTGTAGACCCGGCCGAGACGACCTGCTGCAGCTCAAACCGAGCATCAGAACCAGGAATTAATGATTTAGAGGTTCTGACCCGGTGGAACCAGACGGTTCTGAAGATCTGCCATGAAGGATTACAGCAGGCGGGGGCAGGGCCGTACAGAGACCTTAGAGGGGTCAGGGGCAGAGAGGGGCCCAAAGAACAAGATCTTAAAACATCAAACAGCAACAACCCATAATAATCAATAATCTGATATTTAATCAGATCAAACTGCATCATGTCGACAATGAGAAGATAATCTAGTCCAAGTTTCCCTGATTTAATGTTTCTGCTGATCTGAGACTGAAGCTGCTAAACAGACCAGAGGAGAAAAGGTCAAAGGTCATGAAGTTATGGACTCAGAACATTTGTTGATAGAGAGACATTATGGGCTCCCTTTCGTCAAGTCTCATTTTGACAGGTGGCCACGCCCCTTTTAACCGGAAGTCCCGCCTTAGATTAACTAGGGTTTTTTTCTCACGATCTTTGACCTCTATTTACCCCCCCACACACCCCTCCCTCCCACACACACCCCCCCAACACACACACACACACACACACACCTTCCCCCTCCCTCCCTTCCAGATGTCAGGATGTACCCCTCCTTAAATGAACATTTCTTAGACATCTATTATTCTTTGTTTTCTTGAAAACTCCTATTGACTTCTTTTTAAGAGTAATACCAATACAACAACAGTTATTTAATCAAGAAAAATGTATATAATTATATACTATGCCTACTGAAGTTTAAAAAGATCTGGAATGGAGATGTTACTTCTGATTCTGTGCCTGGCCTACGACTGGGGTCTGAGCTGGGGGCTTGATCAATATAGGTACGGTCTATGGGTGCGGGCCTGTGGGAGAAAACCCTTTGGGGGTCGTTCTCAGCCACATCTGGTTTTTCTGTTTTCTGTCTGTTTATTTTTTTAAGACAGAAGAAATGTTTTTAGAAAACACCCCCGCTCTCCTCCTGTCATACAATATTAAAACAGGCTTCTGATTTTTACAAGTAAAGCTCCCCAGCTGCACTGCAGCGGGTCAATGCAGAGGGGGGAGTGCTAATTGCCTTGTTGTGTCTGGGGCAGTCGAGGGCAAAAAAAAAAAGCCCTGCCCCCTGCAAATACATACGTCTAAAGAAAACCTGCTATTTAACTACATTATTTATGGTAGTGACTACAAGTTTGTGATTTCTTTCATGCTTTCTCCAAAATAAAACGCCGGTTTAAACACATTTGAAACTCATAGATTTTTCTGTAACACTCACTAGTGTGATACATTTCAGTAAATGTTTCTCATTTGTACATGTACTTCTTAAGAATATGTGACTGTTTGTAAGCAGGCCAACGGGAGGTTATTCAAATTAGACTTTTAACTTTCCTTGGTTAAAGAATTTGTCCAGAATTTTCCAAAATTTATCCTCCCATCATTGTAAATGCTACTTTGGTTCCATTTTTTTCCTGCTGCTGAATCAACACTGATCTTCCCAGCTTCATGCTTTCTCCAAAATAGTAAACGCCGGTATAAACACATTTGAAACTCATACATTTTTCTCTGTAACACTCGCTAGTGTGAAACATGTCAGTAAGTTTCTCATTTGTAAATTTATTTCTTAAGAATATGTGACACTTATTAAACAGACCTTACTGAGGCTACTCATATTTAAGTTTTAGCTTTCCCCAGAGTTGAAAGTTTTTTTTCTCTCTTTCTTTCTTTATTTTTTTAACACTGCACAACTACGCTCCGACATGGTAAATTATTTTGTTACCTTTATCATTATCCACTACTTTTGTCTCTAACTTATATGCTGTATGTTTCTCGGCCCAAATGATGCTTTTTTCCTCCATCCATCATTTTATACACTTGAGTGTGTTCAGTAACAAAATATAGTTGTGAATTTTCCGTTACTGAAGCTTATAATGATCAATGTAAACTTTCAGTCTGTATTCAGATAGTGAATACAATTTCTATTATCTAGATTGGATGTTTTAATGCATGCACTTGGATTTCTATCGATTTATTGAATAATAGTCTGTGTAAATATTTATCAAACTGAATGGCCATTCAGGTTTCATATAATTTTTTTAGTTTGGTTTTTTTTGCACAACTTCAAATATATGCTGGCTATCAACCAACCATTCAATCAGTGATTTTTTTTTCTTTTTTTTTAAATAACCCCTCTCACATCTTCTGACAACTAGCCCCAAGTTATAATAACATTAACTAAGTTTGCTAATGGTGCACTTTACCTAAAACAAATATTAAAAAAATAAAACATACTCACTACACAGCCCTTCTCCCAGAGCTGGTCACAACATGGTGATTGGTTTTTTTTTACCGTTAAAATTATCTACAGCTTTTGTTCCTTGCTTCTCATGATGCTATCTGTTCACTAATGTTCACTAATGTTCACCTCTTGTAAATGATAAGCTTATTAACGATCAATATGAACCATCAGCATGCGTTAAAGAAGATCATATCAGCCAGATGAAGTAAAAATATCATGATACTCAAAGCAATCAAAATATATTGATCTGAAAGGTAATTTCTCCTTTTCAGGGAGCTTAGACTGAATGAAAGGAATTATTGAAATATACGACAAAATATTTAATTTGCAGAATTCCGATAATAGAACTTCAACTATGAATTGAAAGATTACATTGTATTTATTAACTGAAGATCACTTAATAAATCAGCTGTTAATTAGTCATCATACTATGTAAATGACTAACAAATTTGAACAAACAAGAAACTTGACTACCTCAAGGGATTTCTCACATTGGAGAATCAACTGTCTGATTTTCTTTAGCCCACTAAATTTAACCTTACCAAAGCTCTACAGTAAAGCAAACGGGTACTTAGTTTGAAGCCTGAATCAGATGCCTTCAGACCTTCTGCTGAACCTGGACTTTGGCCGCCTCAGTGTAAAATAAACATCAGACTTTTTAAAAAAAAGTCCAAGTGAACATCACTTAATTATCATCAACTAGTTGTTTATACTCATCTTAAACCATTGGCAGGAATCTTTGGATAAAACACACAAACAATTAAAAAAAAAGCTTTATCAGTTAATCTATTTAAATTGAGTCCACGCAACAACTAAAATAAAATAAAAAGTGAACTATCTGAAAGTAGTGAGGATGTTGTGTGCTAAATGTTTAATATTTAACACGCCCAGCAGACACCACACCATTTCTGCTCAAGCAAACCACAAGGTTTTGAACAGGACAACTATGTCCCAAAAAAAAAAAAAAAAAAAAAATGAGACCGTATCTTTATTGTATGTAGCAAATATATTGCTGCTGGTGCTGCTGCTGCTGTAGGTAGAAAATAAAGAAGTTTTTTTGCAGAGAATAATATTCTGGATGAGTTTAAGAACATTCTTTGCCAAAATTACACAGTGTAACTACACTTGTATTTTATATGTTGCAGTAATTGAATCTTTTGAGGCAATTGGTTTGCATAAATTTAAGTAAATCCAACCTATTTTCCTGCTCTACATACTTAGCTAGCATTTGCCAGTTAGCTTCCCAGTCTGAATTTCTGTGCAACGTCTTTATTCAGTCAACTCTTCTATCCTGTACTCCAATTCTATTCCTGAACTCCGATATTCTACATCCATTTTGTGAATGTTTTGCTTGCTTGTTGATCTTCAGCATGCTCTGAAGGCAGTATCGGGTTTCTCTTACTTTAAACGCCCAACTTGCACCTGATTGGCACTTTAGCCTTTT